GAAAGAAAGAAAGAAAGAAAGAAAGAAAGAAAGAAAGAAAGAAAGAAAGAAAAGAAAGAAAATGAAACAATTGACGTGTCCAAGTCCAAGTCCATTTGATACAGGTTCTTCTCTTTAAAATCTACTGGGCTGTTTGAAGTGAGGCTAAGCTTTCAAATAAAAAGAAAGTAAAAGGTGAAATAGCATTTTGAAAAACAGAAAATTAATGAAACTTTCAACAATTCTGTAGCAAAGATAATTATTAAGGCCAGTCAAGTTTCTTAGTCTGCTCTGCTTCCTCCAAATAAAATTCATTTTCTGGTCTTCTCTCATTGTAGGTAACTTTTAAACTTACTTTTTCCTGGTTTGGAGGTGTGAGGAATACAGGCAAAAGTGAAGAGGAAGTTGCCTGTCCTTTGAAAGAATGAGTTTTCATCATACCTCAGTTGGATCTTCACTTTTAAAACTCTTTTGGCAATGGGACAAAAGCAAGACAATTCTATTGGTGATCTCAATGTTGTTAACATAGGTGAAAAGGAAAGTATATTCTGTCTTCCAACTTACTGACAAGCAATAAAATCCATATCAGGAATGGCTTCTACTACCATGGTGATCTGTATTCTAAAGCCATTTTAGTTTCAATCACACTACTGAAATATAAATACATTCTAAACTTTCAAAACACACTTTGTCATATTTCCTAAGTTTTTTGCCACTAAGTTTTTAGGAAGGATAACTCATAAAAATGGTACTTAATCTGCTGGCTAATTTTGTTAGGTGCTCAATAACAAGGAAAATACTAATCTGCCTTAGTTTATTTTAGAACAGCATACTTCTCTCTCCTGTGAAATGTGTTTGTATTAAACAGTGAGACATTCATAATTTTAAGTCCTAACAAAAAAACCAATAGTTCAATAATTGACACATAGTTTTCCTTCCTATAAAACAAAATCTTGGAGACTAGTTTAAGGAATTTCATTCGAATTTCTTATTTCCAAATGAAAATAGAGCTGTCTTATCTCACTTTGGTATTTGTCCATGTGGCTTTACTTTACTGAGGAGATGTAGAATAGATTAGGGATAAATAGATGATGACATCCCCGTCTGATTTCATAGTGAAAAAAATCAGATATAGTTAGATATGCTTTTATGTAGAATATCCTGATGGACATTTTCAGGAAGATTTTTGTAGAAAAAAAGCACAAGAATTTCAACTGAAAGTTAAATAGGTATAAATTCAAATTGCTGGAAACCAATCAAATATATATGTATATATATTATATATATATATATATATATAATGAAAGCAGTGAATGGCCTTTACTGTTGCAGAAGAAATGTTATTATTTGGTTCCCTAGTTGAATATGATCAATAATTGTCCTGAAGGGAAATATTTTGCTCTCCACTCATTCAATTGCTTCATTTTTCAAGCTAGTCAGAAGCAAATTACCAGAGGGGTTTTTCAAAAGTATGTAATTCCTAATTTATCATTCATTAAACAGTTACTGAACACCTACTGTGAGTCAGATCCTAAAGTCCTCTGAGGATGAAACGCTATGAAAACACTAAAGTAACAGTGCAAATGTTGCCTGGGCATGGTGGCACACGCCTGTAATCCAGGCACTAGGGAGGCTGAGGCAGGAGGATCACCGCGAGTTTGAGGCCAGCCTGAGCTGCGTAGTGAGTTTAAGGACAACCTGAACTACATAGGGAAACCTTGTCTCAAAAAAATGCAAATGTTAATATTTACTCACCTTTTGAGATACAGCTCAAATGGCAATATTCAGTTTGTCATTCCTTTTTCTGTGCTTCTATATCTTATGCAAATAGTTTCATCTGGGTGCGTGTACCTATGCACTGAGTCCTCAGAGAAGGTAGACACCCTTCGTTTATTCTGTTTTATATCCCACAGAATCTAGCATATGGTTTGCTATAGATCAGGCGGGTGGTTGGTTAGTAGACTTTGGTCAAAATGAAAAAGCTAACATAGGACTGGACCATTTTGTATTCAATGAAGAAGACAGTACTTGTCCAAACACATTTCTTTCTTAAAAAGTAGTTCCTGAAGCAGATGAGCTGGCGCACACCTCTAATCCTGCTACTGGAGAGAGGCTGCAGCAGGTGGATCACAAGTTTGAGGTCAGCCTAATCAATTCCGCGAGACGGTGCCTCAAATAAAAATGGGGGCAGGGATGCAGGTCAGTATTAGAGACCCCCTGGGTTCCATCCACAGTAGTAGGAAAAAGGGAGGTACTGTAATTCACTATTGCCTTGTTATGCTAGAACTCGAATTATCATGAGTTAATAAATTGTATTTCTTCAGATTGTATTTCAAGGTGGTTTATCAATAGAGCAGAACTCACACGTGTAAAAGATATGAAATCCATATAGTCTCTAATAAAAGTTTTTATGCACTTGGAGGAACGCGGCCAGCTTTCCTTCCACTGCAACTGCTTGCGACTGCCTTTCCAGACCTTTCCCTTTCCTTTTCCCACCCTTTCGCCCTCCGGAAAGAGCGGAACGCGGACCGCCAGCGCTCCCCAGCCTTCCCCGCCCCCTTGCGGAAAGAGCCGAAGGCAGAGCGGGGCGCCGAAGCGAGGCCGCCTAGGGCTCGGGCCCTTCCGGACAGGCCCGCGCCGCTCTCGGAAGAGGAGGAAGTGGAGGGCGCCTCCGCGCTTCGCCCCCGCGCTGTGCCCTCTGTCGGCGGCGTGGGGCAGCGGTAGCGGTTGGTGGCGGCCGGAGGCGGCATCCGCGTCGACGTCGGCCACGACTGTAGCACAGTTTAAAGAAGCAGCAGAAGCGCCGGGGCCGGCCCGTCCCGGCGGAGGACGCCCACCCTTCCGCGGCCGAGAGAGGCGCGGCGCCCGCAGCAGGTGAGGCCCGCGCGGCGGGGGGCGGGGAGCGCGCCTCCCTCCCGGCCCTGGGCCGCGCCTGCGTTCGCCTCACTTGAACCAGGAAGCGGCGGCGTCCCGGGCTGCGCTCCTCCGGCTCTTTCTTTGTGTGGGTCGGGAGGGAAGGAGGGGAAGAGCCTGGAGGGCCGCGCGGCCCCGTCCCCGCCTGGGCCGGGGGCTGCGGTGCCCCGGGTAGGCCCTGGGGCGTGCGCACCCCGCCCCCAGGACCCGCCTGGCGTGCCCCTCGCCCCTCTGCCTTCTCTTTTGTGCCCCTTCCCCGCCTCGTCCTTACTTTGATTTGGAGCTTTTCTGCCGGCCCATCCTCCCCTTCCGTCCGCTTCCCGGGGCACAACAATGCCGCCTGCCCGCCCCTCCCCGGCACCGCACCCTGCCGCTCGCCGCCTTCCACGTCCCGCCCGCCCCGCGCTCTCCGCCGTGTGTGCCTCCGTCCGTGTCTGCTCGAAGCCGGCTTTCCGGAGAATTGGAATCGAAAGCCTGCGCGGCCGCCGGCGGGGTGCAAATGGAGAAGACGGAGGTGGAGGAAAGGCGAGGGGTTCAGCTACCGCAGGGCTCCGCGTGTTGGTTTGTTTCACTCCCTGGCCGAGGGCTTTTATCTCTTTTTCTGTCTAGCGGGCCAACCGATCGTGCCCTCGGTCAAGGATTTGTCGTACAAAGACTCAGAATGGCCTTTTCACAGTCAGGTCGAAAATCTTGGGTGAGGAAGGGCTCACACCAACCCGTCCTGACCCAGGGCCCACCCTGACCTGCTGCGGGGGCACCTAGGAAAGAAGAAACAAAGTCCCGCCATCACCTGGACACGTATATTTATACCTTCCCACGTTGGGAAAACCTTGCAACGACAAAAATCATGGAACCATATTTAGAAAACCTGCCTTTCCACTTCAAAGTGACTGCTGTTGAAATCCCCATATTTCGGAATGCCTGAGTGCTGGCACGTTGTCCAAAGGTCGCCCATTCTGATTGAGTACCTTTATGGTAACCCTGCAATTCCTTGGTACTGTTACATGCAACATCTAACTGATGAGGTTTGAAAGCCTTGATTTTTAGACTTCTTGTCTATTTTTGTTATTAAGTATAATTTTAAAAAATTTAGAAGATATTTGAGATGTTCTACCTTTCACGTGTATATAACTTTAGGCACTGTGATTGATAATCTCGATAACTTTAAAGGGAAATAATGTTAACAATTTTTTTTTTTTACTAAAAGTGCTTATCAAGTGATGGTTAATATGTATTATGTTTTTAATATATGTGGATGTTTTACCACTCTGGCATCATTGTGTATGGGATATCTTCTGGGAAGTGCAAACAGAAGTTTTAAGCTAGGTGTGGTGATGCATGCCTGTAATCTCAGCATTTCATAGGCTGAGGCAGGAGGATTGCAAATTCAAGCCCGTCCTGTTCAACTTAGCAAGACCCTGTCTCAAAATAAAAAACTTTTAAAAAGGGCTGAGGATATAGCTCAGATGAGTGCCTTGGGTTCAATCCTCAGTACTGGCAAAAAAGTGCTTTTGGGGTGGTACACAGCAATGCCATTTAATGGCAGCCCTCACACCTTCTAGAGTTACGTCTCTGTTCCAATAAGCTAATGTTTTCATTTTCACTAACAGTAGGTGAGAAAAAACTTCTCATAGCAATGTACACAATTTTTTTCCTTTTTATTTTGAGATAGGACCTCACTGTGTAGTTCAGGCTGGCCTTGAACTCACTGTGTAGCCCAGGCTGACCTTAAACTGGCAGTGATCTTTCTGCCTTAGCCTCCTGAGTGCTAGGATTACAGGCATGCACCACCTTGCCTGGCCTTTTTTTTCTTTGTTTTTTTTGATTAATGGTGATTGAACCCAAGGCTTTCTCATTAAACCACAACCCCCCATTTCTTGGAATTTGAGACAGTCTCAGTAAATTACGAAATTGCTTAGGCCAGGCAGGAATTTGGGATCCTCCTGCCTCAGCCATTGTGCCCCAGCTGCGACGTACAAGATTCTTTACCAATGAAATGAAGTGTTTGAGATTTTCGTGCAAATATGCATTAAGAAGTGGTATGCTTTCCTTTTCCACTGTCATATTTTTTCATGATAGCCTCTGGTGAGTTTGTGGTGAGAGAGCTGGGTAAAGAGATGAAATATAGGAAGGGGTAAGAATCATGTTTAATAGTTTATCAAGATGAGACACCCCAACTTAATGCAAAGTTGAGCAAATGTGAGATAACTGTGATTGTTAGTTAAGTGTCCCAGGCTGCAGAAAGTAGCTTTTAAATATAACGTTAATGATAAGATTAGTTGAGATTTAGGAAAAATGTGTATTTGAAACTAAGTATTAAACATACCAAGCTTTTCCAACATTTACATCATTGTTTTACTGATGAACTACTGTGCATTCATGATGAACATTTTCGAAAAAAAATTTTAAGACACTTAAAAATTAGTTCTTACCTATCCTTGAGGAGGATATCCCAACATTGGTACTAAGAAAATGAATTCTAATCTCGTATGTGTATCTGAGATTCAAAGGAACGCAACTGTGGAAATTGCTTTTCAAATCGGTGTAGCAACTTAAAATTTATCTGACTCTTCTCATGAGGAAGTCATGAGATCTGGCACGTGGTCCAAAAGCCAGCCTATATGAACAGTTTATACAAAAGCCAAAAAGTTATGGCAAACTGTAGTTAAAATTGGAACTACTTAATGATGCTGTAGCTTAAATTCTGAACGATAATTTTATGCTTTCTTTGGAATCCCCCCTTACCCTGTCCTCTTCTTCTCTTGTAGGCATGGAGAGTAGAAAGCTCATTTCTGCAACTGACATTCAGTACTCCGGCAGTCTGCTGAATTCCTTGAATGAGCAACGTGGCCATGGACTCTTTTGTGATGTTACTGTTATTGTGGAAGACCGAAAATTCCGGGCCCACAGGAATATTCTTTCAGCTTCAAGTACATACTTCCATCAGCTCTTCTCAGTCGCTGGGCAAGTTGTTGAACTGAGCTTTATAAGAGCAGAGATCTTTGCAGAAATTCTCAATTATATTTATAGTTCTAAAATTGTCCGTGTTAGAGCGGATTTACTTGATGAATTAATTAAATCAGGGCAGTTATTAGGAGTGAAATTTATAGCTGAGCTTGGTGTCCCACTGTCACAAGTTAAAAGCATCTCAGCTACCCCTCAGGATGGTAGTGCTGAAACCTTACCTCCTGGTTCTAGTGACAAAAACCTTGAAATACAAAAATCAAAAGATGAAGCCCAGGATAATGGGGCTGCTATAATGCCTATTATAACAGAGTCTTTTTCATTATCTGCTGAAGATTATGAAATGAAAAAGATCATTGTTACTGATTCAGATGATGATGATGATGATGTCATTTTCTGCTCTGAGATTTTGCCTGCAAAGGAGGCTTTGCCGAGTAACAACGCAGTGACACAGGTCCAGCCTAACCCGGGTCCTGTTGCTATGTCAGATGTTGCACCTTGTGCTAGCAGTGACTCTCCCCCTTTATCTAGTGTCACACCTACTCAGAAACTTCCCACTCCCGTCAGTCAGGCAACTCTGAGCCAGACACAGGGAAGTGAAACGTTGCTGGTATCTTCAGCTCCAACACATCTGACTCCCAACATTATTTTGTTAAATCAGGCACCACTTACTACACCACCAAGTGTCAGTTCTTCACTTCCAAATCATATGTCCTCTTCAATCAATGTACTTGTGCAGAACCAACAAACACCAAATAGCACCATGTTAACGGGACACAAAGCCAATGAAGAGGAAGAAGAGGAAATTATAGATGATGACGATGACGACACTATTAGCTCCAGTCCAGACTCAGCAGTCAGTAATACATCGTTGGTCCCACAGGCTGATACCTCCCAAAATCCCACTTTTGATGGATCGTTGATACAGAAGATGCAGATTCCTACATTTCTGCAAGAACCACTTTCCAATTCTTTAAAAATTTCAGATATAATTACTAGAAACACTAATGATACAGGCTTAGGATCAAAACATCTAATGGAGGGCCAGAAGATCATTACTTTAGATACAGCTACTGAAATTGAAGGCTTGTCTACTGGTTGCAAGGTTTATGCAAATATTGGTGAAGATACTTACGACATAGTGATCCCTGTCAAAGATGACCCTGATGAAGGGGAGGCCAGACTTGAGAACGAGATACCAAAAACTTCGGGCAGTGAGTCAACAAGCAAACGTATGAAAGTAAAACATGATGATCATTATGAGTTAATAGTAGATGGAAGGGTCTATTATATCTGCATTGTGTGCAAAAGGTCATATGTCTGTCTGACAAGCTTACGGAGACATTTTAACATTCATTCTTGGGAGAAGAAGTATCCGTGTCGCTACTGTGAGAAGGTATTTCCTCTTGCAGAATATCGCACGAAGCATGAAATTCATCACACAGGAGAGCGAAGGTATCAGTGTTTGGCATGTGGCAAGTCTTTCATCAACTATCAGTTTATGTCGTCACACATAAAATCAGTTCACAGTCAGGATCCCTCTGGTGACTCAAAACTTTATCGCTTACATCCATGTAAGTCTTTGCAGATCAGACAGTATGCCTACCTTTCTGATAGGTCAAGCACTATGCCCGGAGTGAAAGATGGCGGTACTGGTTATAAGGTTGACGCTGGAAAAGAACCTCCAGTAGGGACTACATCTACTCAAAACAAGCCAGTGACCTGGGAAGACATTTTTATTCAGCAGGAAAATGATTCAATTTTTAAACAGAATGTAACAGATGGCAGTACTGAGTTTGAATTTATAATACCAGAATCTTACTGAACTTCTTTGAAATGGCAGAAAGTTTTCGTTTGGATTAATGGGCAGGGATTTCAGACCTGTAAAACCAGTTAAAGTGAAACAAGTCAATTTGATCAGCCACATCTGAAGGTAGCCTAGTTGGATTATATGTTAATACTTAGAAACAAATTTTTCTGAAAGTTTGAGTAGAGGTTGAGAATCCCCTCTCCAAGTATGTTTGTATAGTTAGCTTTCACCTCATTGAAGAGGCAAAAGTAAGAAGCTCAGAGAGATAGTTTTCTGAATAGAATTTAAAGCAGTCTGAATGTTCTTTGAAAATAACTGGAGTTACTAGCATACCCTAGTACATCTTAAAACTTTCCCCTTCCATGTTAGCACTTTATTGCTGATTTTTCAGTTTTCTTAACATTGAGACTATAAATGTGTGTTGTGTCTTGTATATGGCATAAAAAGTAAAGAAGAATGTCTAAAATTGTTCTAGAAAATTTGAGAATAAATCTCCACTTGGTTATGTATTCTGGTAGTCAAAATGGATAGTAACCTCTTGCCTCCCTGCCCCAATGAAAATAGCCACACAGACAAGTCTTTCATATGAAGAATTAGTTTTAGCTAGTTTGAATTAATCCTCGCTCCTACTGCCACAGTCTGTAAAAGACTTGGGTCACAGTGCCACTTTCTGTGCCTTTGCAGGGTGGTCTCTATGGGCAAAAAACTAATAGAAAAACAGATCTGTAATGCAGCGACGGGGAGATGAAAAGTTCTGTCGCTTTCGTAACAGAGACAGACTGGAATCAAATGGAGATATTTTTATTCATCATCTTTAAAAATATTCCCATGAAATGTTGCAAACTTTGCAATCTGAAATCCACCAAATGAATCTTTATGCATAATCTGTGTATAAATCTTTGTAAATGATAGTCTATAGCTGAGACTCCTGTGTGTTTTGGGCTGGAGGCTACAGGCATATTTTCAAATGTTCACATTACTTAGAATCTCTTTCTTTTCAGCAGAGTATTTTGGGTTTTTGTCCCTTCTAAAATAAATTACATTCCACTTGTAAATCGTTGCAATATAGCAGTCGGAACCTACATATGGAGTATTATATAGACTTGTCAATTCCCATTTATTGTCACAACAGTAAATGCCACCTTTCTTCCTTTTAGAATGATACATTTAAACACTTAGAAAATAAAGTTAAAACTTAAATGCTAGTACTAAAAGGAAGCAGATTGGAACAAATATATATAGTCTAGCATCTATAACAAAACTAGCTTGGTGAACTGTAAATGATATTTTGCAAAGGAAAAGAATAGATACTAAAAGATTGTTGTGCATAGTTATTAGTCATTCATAAACTTTTTAAAGTATTTCTTGTTCAGCATAGATATTTTCTTCCTCCTTACCATGTAGTTTTAAAAATAGTCTTATTTCTTGAAGTTGAATTAAAGCTTTAGTCATAATTTCTCATGTCTATGTCATTTTTCAAATGGTAAGCAAGATTTTAAGATATTGGTGTCAGTGCTTTTTATATTGGAAGCGGAGAGGATCAGATGTCAATATTTGCAGTAATACAAGGAAAAAAGTAAAATATCCTTTGCTTACAAAGGTCAAGTTTATGTGCATTTATTGTTTTCTATTCTGGGAGTCTAAACTGAGCATTAGAAAATTTGAAATTGCCTTATAATTTAAGGATCAGATCTTTGGAATCACAGTATCTTTTTCTTTTCTGTGTAGATATTGATAACATTATTCTTTGACAATAAGGTGCACTCTGAAATATTCTCAGTGGAAATTTGATTATCATTAATGTTATTTCACCAGTTGGACATAGTTCTACCAGTGTGAATGATAACTGATGCCAGCAGGGCTTCCAGACCTTTCAGACTCAACTGCTAGATGAATGACTGTCATAATAGAACTCAGTAGTTTCTACAAGTCTATTGTGACAAACCAAGACTTAGTTCTATAATGGAAAACTATCCATTCTGAGTAATACTGATAGAGTTATTCGGTACTGCTGTGCTGTGTAAATTCTGAAAACGAAGTGTTAAACTGTGCCTAGTTAAAGTATCTTCTGGAGTTTGGGAGAGGAGGAAACCTGGAAAGTTAAATTGCAGTTTTGCCAGAAGACTCTTGCATATGTCTCAAGGTCTTCAGATTTCTTTTTCTTTTTTTTTAATTTTTACTATTGGGGATCAAACCGAGGGGTGCTCTACTACGGAGCTACATCCCCATCCCTTTTTACTCTGAGAAGGTCTTGCTCAGGTGGAAGTTGAATTTGTATCCTCCTGTCTCAGCCTCCCTCAGTGCTGGGATCACAGGCATGTGCTACTGGGCTTGGCTAGGTCTTTGTTTTTCTAGAATTTCGCCTACCTAAAGTGAGGAGTTCACGTGGAATATGCTTTTGGGATAAAACTCTTGATTCCCAGTTTCTACTTGATGGAAAATTTGTAGCAAGATGCAATTTAAACTTACCATGGGGCTTTTCTGTTTTATACTTAGCTTTCTAGCTATTGAATTTTCTTTTTTCTTTCAGGTTGACTTCAAATTTGCTGTAATGCTAAGTTACCCATAAATGTGCTAGACAGGAATTATTTGAAATAGTAAATTTGTTCAAAGAAATAACAAAAATATTCAAACCAGGCAAAGCTTTTAAAATGCTGTAGCAGTCTTGGAAGATTTTAGAAAGTATTTTCAGTGATTATCTTTTTGGTGGTAATGATTCCTCCCTCATACACCCACTATGAGGAAATGATGTCATATTTTCCCATTGTACCAAAAAGATAAAACAGTAAACATTGCTAAAGGTATTTTATATTGTCGGGCATACATATTCTAAAAAATTAAATATTAACAGTACTGGCTTCCTCACTTCTATCATTCATATGAACCCTTGTTCTTTTCCTCCCAATACAGTATTGTTCATACTTGTACAATTTTATTTGTCATGACTTTAAGTTCTACTTTTCAGTAATCATTATGTGGTATTCATAAAGCTTCTTATGACAAAAATAAAATGATTTAATTCTAATTGTTGAGTACATTTTTTACATGATTGTCTTTCAGGAATTACACAGGCTTTTGTGTTGTTTTCAGTTTTGTAAAGAGGGACTAGAGCTTATTTCTGATGACAGCCTGCCAGAATTTTCCTGTAGGTGTTATATGTTGGTTAGTCATGTCCCATTGTTTCTTGAATCAAAATGAGATAAATGCTGTCAGTTGCTTTAGTGGTCTTGGTATGCTTTGGTAAATACCATGAGGACTCCTGTAAGTGGATAAGGAGGATAGTTTTATTAATTTGAAACATCACAAAAGCGGTCTGGGTTCCCACCATGGCAGTGATACAGATTTTAAGCAACATCCAGTTTACATAGGTTCTGGATTAATAGTTTAATGTTTCATGCCCAGTTCAATACTGTAAAGCAGAATTAGGATTAAAGCCATAAATTACAAAATGCAGTTGAGATATATATTGGAAATACAAATTCCTTCATTACAGCAAATGTTTTGCAAAAGAGTAAAGCAGCAAATACTAATTTTTTAAGGTAACATGGACTTTATATAATTCAATGTAATAAAAAAAGCTGCTTAAATTAAGTGTTACAAAATCTGTTTCAAGTTATTTTGTAAATAAGAAAAATACATAGAAATGAGTCAGAATCTTCACACTTTAAGAAATGTGGTAAATGTAGGCTATAGTGTATAACGGTACCCTTAAAAATACACATTTACTAAAGCAAAAGGTAAAGTGTAAATGGCAAAAAAATACTCATTATTACAAGTTGATATTTGTATAGTAAGTCAATTGTTCTTAGTCCCTTTTTGATACCCAGTAGAATTTTAATATTCTCAGAACTGTAAAAATAATAATTTTGTATAACACAAAAGGGTTATAGTACTTCAGATCTGGAATCCGTATGAGACAAGATTCATGATGCTGAAAGTTAAACAATATTTTGCAAACATTTACTGCAAACAATGAGTGCACCTGTTGTGCCTTGATGATTCTTAATGGGAAGGTGTCTAGATGGGAGCACCAGCATTTGTCTGCTACCTCTAATTCATCAAGTTGGGAGGTAGCAAAATTGGCTGGAAAATCTTCCAGTATGTGTTCTGCATTTGCAGAACTATCTGATTAGGTACCCTTCTGTAGCCTGTGCATTTTTATATTGACAAGTGTAGGATTATCAGTCTTCCTTTTAAACCAGTTCACAGGTTAGCATAAAAGCTCAATGAAAGTGTTGATTCTAAATTAGAGGCCTGGATTCCAAAGTGTTCTAAACTCATTTGGGTGATGATTTAAAGCTATGTGTAATTAAAATAACTATGAATTCCACAATGTCAGATGGATTTTAAATCTACCGTGACACTTAGAAATTTGTCAAGTTAGCTACAGGTGGAGATTTTACAGACTTGAGGCATTGTAACACTTTCATAATCTTGAATTAATGCTATCATGATTGGTCTCAAGAGAAAAAAAGGACCAATAAGAGCAGTGGCATTAAAATACATGTTTCTTTTGGGGTGAGGCGCAGGATACGTGCAGTTTGCTGGGATTGAAGCACAATATTTAAAGATTAAATAGTCACAAAGATTAGTAACAATTCATATCACAACCCAACTTAATCTAGGGTCTTTAAACTCATTTCCAATGGTAAGATATCTCCTGCAGTAAATGCATTTCGTAATGACACAATATATAATAGAACCTCAGTCTCTTAAATTGTCAGATGTATAACAGATCTACTTAAAACAGCTCACAGGCTGCTCTGTATTTCAATGCTTCTGGAACAATCCTGTTTCCCTCTAAAGATGAGAGAATATTGCACTTTTCCCTTTAGGAGGTACCAGTAACAAAAGCTGAGCTGAATGATCACAACAGCCATTTTTACAATACTCACAGAAAAAGAGTAAGATATAGGCAGCTGTTTTCTATATCCAGATGAAAAGCAAACAAAATCTTAGCCAGAACTCCCTGTACTGGAACCATCATCTGGGAAATTTTCCTTACGGACTGAACATTAGTAGGGAAAGATAGGGCCTTGTAAGCCATGTACTTTAACCAAGGTGCTAGAGTGGCAATCTGCCATGGGCCTGAGGACAACACTCCTTTACATAAAGTGAGACAGATGTCAGTGACGCTTGCTCGATACGGAAGTGGAGCACAGGTAATGCAAGTTCAAACATGACAGTCTTCTCGCTGGGCTGACTCCCCAGCCCTGCTTAGAGAGTTGAGCTCTTCTTGGAAGTGCTGGGCTCTGCCTAGTCATCCTTCCTTCAAACTGTAACAGCCTTCATCCCTATCTTTCCCTAGCCTGGCAGGCTGTTGTAAAACTTTATGCATTGAGTCACATTTTAAATTTTATACCTCACATACTTCCACTAAAGCAGAAATACAAAAGCCACAATAATCTCAATAGCCAGGGGGTATTCACTCCTTTAGGGACTGTAAGGTGGTGGCTTTTCAAAAGGTGGATAGTAGGGTGGAGAGTAACGGGGTGGTGCACTCGAGGACCACATGTAGCTGGGCGAGGGAGAGCCAGACTGAGGCTCGTCAGAAAGTCCGGAGGGAGGGGAGGATGGAAAGACGCTGGAATGCTGTGTAATAGAAAGAAAACATCAGCTTAGGCAGCAAGTTTGCGATGTCCTGCATAATCATTCCTATCTAAAAAGGAATACGGACCAAGTTTGTTTCCATTTGGAATAGCGGAGCCCCTAAACCTTACAGCGTTAATGAGGGACATGAACAGGTGGTCCCACCTTCTCTCAGTCACTCAGGTTGCAAGCTTTACTCAGATGTCTGGGAATCCTTCCCTGACCCGTGAATGCTGCATCTAGTCAGCTACTCAATCCTGCTGCTTCTAGTGGTTGCTTCAATACAGCACTCTCTTCCTGCGTGTATAGCCATGCCTTCAATACCTCTACCTTGAGCTACTGCACTAGCATCCCAACTAGTCTTCATAAAGGTAGATGTGATCTTAAGAACACTTATTGAGCTTAAGTTTTTGATCCCTGGGAAAGTCTTTGCTCCAAGAATATATTGTACCGAAGCAGTGCCCATCTCATAGACAAAAAACCAAAAGCAGAGTAAAGGGCTTGGTTGGATCTGGAGTCATCTGACTAAACCCATCATTTCTATTCCATCAGAACTAACCCCCACCCCAAATCCTCACGTATTTAGGTAGTTTGGGGAGCAAAGTGTAACAAAGACATAGAGGTAAGAACACCAATGGTGAGAAACAGCAATGGCGCAGGTTGCAGCAACTGAAGATTCAATCTTCTTTTGTGCTGTCTAACTTTGGGAAAGGAGCAGATTGGGACTTTTTTAAAACACCAGATAAATTGGCATTCATTTTTTCCCCTCTTGAGGTGATTTTCCTGCTCAAGATTTGGTCTGTTTTGTTCACTGCCATGTCCTCCAGAGTTCAAAGCAGTGCATGGCAAATAGTAGGTACTCAGTAAGTTTTGAATGCGTGAAGATAACTTCAGTAGTATGTCAGGTAAACTTGGCATGCTTTTTAAAAATAAAAATGTTTTCTCAAAAATACAGAGCGCCCCCCCCCCCGTGGGTGCTGTTGCCCCGCTCCAGTAGGGGAATACTGCTAGAGTAAGGTCTGAAGGCTGCAGGGAACTGCAGGGATAAATAGAGGCAAGAAACCAGTTTTAAGCTCTCAGAAAGAACAAACATAAGCCAACAAACAGGTTGGAAGAATTACAAATATTCAGTTGTATCTTAACTCTAGAGGAGCTGGTCTTTTTTGAAGCCAAAGTGTTCAAGTGTTACTGGGGTGGGGGTGTTTGGAGGGGTCACACTATTACTTTATTCTACCAGCCGGAGCTTGAAAAGATCATGTCATTTTTCTGGATCTGTAGCAATCTAGAGTCAGCCTTGACCTGAGGTTTCCAGAACCGGAGACTCCCATCGTTATCAGATTCTCCTCATCCCAGTCCTGACCTCTGCAGCCCGAGAAAGAGATCTCCAGGTTTCTTAGGTCTTGCTTAAGACTCTAAAATATGTGTCCCTTACCACATGTGACTGTGGCTGCAATTCCTCACCCTATGCATTCTTGCATTCTGAGTAATGGAATGACAGGATCATAGAACCTAGAGAGAGCCTTTAACGGCAAAATAATTTGGGGCGGTGGGCTCGAGACAAGCAAGATGTCTTTCTAAAAATTCAGCTTTTCTTCTCTCTTTAAAAAGATACCCCTTGTTAAAACAACAGCGCAGTGATACGTTCGGAGAAATATGTTATTAGGCAATTCATTGCGCAGACATCTCAGAGTGTACTCGCACAAACTAAGACAGCTACAGTGCCACTAGGTGATACCATTTTTTTTTTTGGAAACAGGGTCTCACTATACAATTCAGGCTGGACTTGAGCTCACTTTGTAGCCCAGGCTGGGCTCGAACTCACAACTATCCTGCTGCCTCAGCCTCCCGAGTGCTGCCATTACAGGCGTGCGCTACCATGCCTGGCTAAGTGATATAATCTTATAGGACCACTGTTGTATATAGTCTGTCATTGACTGAAACATCATTAAATAGCACATGACTGTATAGTCATTTCCTAAATTTTCATCCAGCATCCCCCAAACTCTCCCTTTCTCCCCCTTTCCCTCTGTCTTTTGTTGTCTTTCCTCAATACCTCCCTCCTCTTAACCAAAGAGGACAGCAAGACTTCTCAGGGCCAAGAATCTCTGTGCCCAAGATGTGGCACACAGCACACTGCCCTAAATCCCACTACAGGGATAGTGAGAGACACCGGGCCAGTTTTAGGTGTTCCCAACCGCAGAAGAGAGGGACAGGTGTTCTGCAGTAGAACTAAAGGCAGTTCTGTGTTGAGGTATTAAAGGGTTTCTGTGGGCAGCAGCTACAACAGCCATACTGTGGGTGACAGCTGTACACTTAGACGATAAAAGGTGGTACAGTGGCCCTTAGCTTTCCACTTCTTGTTTCATGTTGGGGAAGTATTACAGGAGGGGAGGTGATTCTCACCTCTGAGCATAAAACTGGATAAAATTGAAGGGT